GGGGCAACTTAAGGTAAGCCAGATAGCCTCGTCTTTAAAATAATTTGCCTTTTTTTACTGAAGAACAGTTTTTTTTTAAATCACAAATTGCTGAGAAGGTCAGTGACCTATTATAAGATTACTAGGACTTCTAAGTAAGATCTCGATTGTAGTTGCATAAAATAAAATATTTTACAAAAGTTAAAAAAATAAATAAATTACTGGAATATAAAAAGTGCAATATTTTGCAATTAAACATTTGAAAGAAAAATAAAGAGAAAAACGATTAAGCTATTTTACATATTATACAGTGTGGTCCAAAAATTAGTTACTTCAAAGCTGTATACCAATTCTGCTTAATTTTTGATACGTTTTCGTAAAACGCTCAAGTGTACGAAAACAATACATAAGCACAGCATGCAGAATGGCAAAGAAACAATGAGTTTTGATGCTAAAAGTCACATATTATCTACACAGAAGAGACTTAGTATAAGTTCAAGTTAACTTTTGGACCAATCTGTATTTTGCTTCGTCTATTTTTCCAACAAAAACAAACCTGAAATAGTTTTAATTATCAAGGATATTATGTTAAAAAAACATGTCAGTTTGGCTATGTATACCACTAATAATAATAATAATAATAATAGGTGGTTTTTATAATTAAAACATAACAAATGACAAAACTGACTGTGCATAAAAATAATTTAGTGATAATTAATTCCATCTTCAGAACTTCTATTCTGACAAGTGTGTCAGAAGGAAATTTGGTCAAATATTTCAATGTTAGTAATTGATAGGTAAGCGAAATTAACTTACGTATAGTAAAATATAAGCACTGGCTACACAGTCTTTCCAGTGATAAAGAAACATATTTTGGTACATAAATAAGAGATTCTATAAGTTAGAATTTGTTTGTTTTTAATTATGCACAAACGTACACAAGGATTATCTGTACTCTGCCCACCACGGGTATCGAAACCCGGTTGCTAGCGTTGTAAGTCCGCAGACATGCCGCTGTGCCACTGGGGGGCCTATAAGTTAGAATTTTTTCTGACGTGACGAATCATAAAATCCCAATAAACCCTCAAGTAACTTAATTATATGGGAATTTTAGTGAGCGAATATTTATGGTTACGAATAAAAGTGAGCTGTTTATAAAGGTTTTGTCATCAACAACTATTTTAAATGAATTGTATCCAATTGATGTCTCGAAAATTATCGTCTCGAGTTTTTGAAAATTTTTGTTTAAAGCAATTCATTTAGTAGTTTTAAAACAGTTTTAGGCAAATGCAACCAGAATAAAAATAAAAATACGTTTTACAATACCAGTTCTTTTTTTACATAAAAATAATTATTTTTTAAAATATATGCACTATAAAACAGAAAATCATAATGCCAAATATGCGCACTAGATGGCACTTTTAAAAAGCAGCACGTGATACTGTGTGATCAAAACGTGCGGCAAGAGTTGCGATTAAGACAGAGTGAAGAAGAGAGAGTAACAATTCTAGAACGTTTTCTAGGAAAACGCATTTTTCTAATAAATTAAAGAATAAAACATGATCTCCTTATCAACGTTAGACGAGGTACGCTTTAAAGACAGAAAAGAAAATTACATCTCGGTCCTACCTGTTTCTGTAGAATTTGGCAAACTACATAGAGAGGAGAAAAATTATCGAAACCCCAGCGGCTGGAAAAAACATACGACATGTAGATTAAATGAAGATCAGGTAGGCATTATGTTCATTCTCGTAACTTGTTTGATCAAATAACTAAATAAAAAATTATATATATATATATTAATTTACCTCTCCAATAAGTTTTCAATAGTAATTAAACATTTGTCTATATAAAAATATATATCGATATAATAAAACACGAGACTCTAAAACTTAGATTTTTATATTGATACGATAAATCTGAAAATCAAAATGAGCTCTCTTGTAACTTTCCATGTATAAATACTACACACACACACGTGATTAATTAATAGCAAGTTTATTCCTGTTTTATACATCCCTAGTGATATTAAGAGGTAGAGCTTTAAATTACTGACAGAAGAATTGCTTTGAAAAATAAAAACATTGAGTTGAGTTAGTTTCTGAAACTTATGCTTATAATATTCATAATTATATTAGAATAGCCAAAATTGAACAATAATAAACAATAACTCAACAGTTCTTTTTTACATTGTGTCATCAGGTTAGTTTTGTATAAAAATCTTTGTAAGCTAATGACAAAAACTAATTATATACATATATAGAGTGTGCTCTATCTACAACTTTATGTCCCTCACATAATCTCTGGGGGTGGTTATTTGATTACAGAAGTAAACATATATAAGCACAGAACGACATGAGCGCTTTCAAACATAGGTTGCACACGCGTCTATCTGTTGGCCATTCTAAACATATGCCGCAGGGCTGTCATCTAGTGACTGATGAAAAATAACTACATATCAAGTTAAAATCATAAATAATTTCGACGTTAAACTGGTATACAATTTAAAACATTTTATTTAGG